AAAAAAAAGAAAAATCATGAGAGGAAATGGAAAGAATAAGAATGGACCGAATGCCACATCCAGGTCCCAGGCACGCCTTTCCGTGACGCTGAGAGAAGAAACAAGTGGCAAGAAACACGGGAATGTTAATCCAAAAACAATGTGCAAGCTCGATCATCTGAAAAACATTGCAGTGTGGGCTGCAGTCGAGGCTTCTGTGCCCTCACTTGGTGCTTTCCTTGGGGAGCGTTTGGCTGCCACAACCGAGGCATTGGGCCTTCGAGCTGACCCGGCGTCATTTGTCTGTGAAAGGTTATATCTCTCTCTCTCTCTTTTTTTTTATTTATTTATATTTTATTTTTTTAGAATTTGGAATTGGTGATTAAAAGGAAAAATCTTTCGTGTCTGAAGTCTTCACACTCTTCTTTTGCTTTTCCATTACTTTTAGAAAACTTGAGGGGATGGAGCATTTATATGCTGTTTTATGGTTAAGCAGATGCAGAGTGTAGGTTGTTTCAGCTACTAATATGTTTAATTACAGATTAGGAGGACGTAGGAGTTTCATTTGGTGGCTAAGCATAGGAAGCAAACTTTAACAGTAATATATTTCATATGCATGTTTGAGAGATGAGGATGTTGTTTAGGCCTGCCTGTGGCTATGGAAGCCTATCAGATATTCTTTACAATTGAAAGGAATGGTAACGATTGGCCATGAAAACAACCGAAAACTTAACCATTGCAAGAGAAGATAAATAAGATTGAACTTGTACAGCTCATATGTAGGAGCTTCAGTTTCGTTTAACTGTACATGCTTGTAGTGCCAAAAATTTCATCTCATATTTAAAATTTTTAACTGGGACGTTCTTCAATTGATGGGTCCATTCATTGGACCTTTTAGATCTGTTAATTGATAATTTGAAGACTGTACTTGCCGTTATTAGTTGATAGGATAGCTACGTTTTGTATATGGGTTCATGTATACATATAATATTAGTTTTATTGTTCTGACAGATGTGAATCAATTCTGGAACCCGGTTCCAATTGCACGGTCAGGATCGAGAGGAACAAATCAAATAAACGGCGGCAAAAGCACAAGAAATCCAACCCCACCACTAAGAACAACGTTGTTTACAGATGCCACTTTTGTTCCCACCGGAATTTGGTTAGAGGCACTCCAAAGGACCATCTAAAAGAAATATGTCCACGAAAGGCCAAACCACCCGTGAAATTAGAGGCTCCCCATGTTGATGCTATTGGTCTGCCGACTTCCGGCGAACAAAACCTTGAAATGAGCTGCCCCGAAACTCCATCTCCGGCAACCGGTCTCTCGCTGTTGGACTCAAAGAGAAGGAAAAGGAATAGGTCCAGCGTGAAGAAAGTGACCGGAGATGCAAGTGCCATAAATGCGGATGATGAGGAAAAGAGCAAACAGGGTTCGACTAAGAGGAGGAAAAGATCGTGGACGAGCCTCAAGGAGATTGCAGAGAGTGGCAGTAAGAAGTTTGCGAATGTAACAGTTCCTTTCTTTATCTAATGAGTAGCTGTTGTAATTTCTTTTGATGTATCCTTTTTAGCAAGTTCTTCCTTTTGGGGAATTAATGGTTATTCAAGTTCCGTCATAACTCATAACTAATACACCTCTCACAAGTGTTTGCTCTCGTTGCCCCATAAATTTCAGTTGAGTTTTGTGTTAGGACTGGATTTGGAGACTCATGACTACTAACCGTGATGATGGTATATTATAAACTAGTACAATACCCGTATATTACACGGGTGGTTATTGAGAAATTTATATTTAAACTTCATATTAAAAAATTTTAATTTTCATATAAACTAATTCAATAATCGTGTATTACACTGGTGTTTGTTGAGAAATTTATATTTAAACTTAAAATAAAAAAAAAAAATTTGTTTTAATTTTCAAGTATTTTTCTTAAAAAAATTATTTCTTTTTATATTTAAAATGACATTCATCACTTATATGACTTAACATCTTATATTATAATAATTTTTAAATTTATATCATATAATTAGATTATAGTTACTTTAATTATTATTTCCAATATCTATATCTATATATATATATATATAATTACTGGCTGCTAGCATTTAAGAAAACCTCTTAAATTATACATACGTGGCAAATTCCCGCCTAAAATCGTTACTAATCATTTATTTTTTATTTTTTGCTACAAAATCAAATCGGCATTAAACCACCTAAAAATGTTACTATCATTTATTTTTTATTTTTTACTACAAAATAAAATCAGCATTAAACCGTTACTAATCATTTATTTTTTTTACTTTTTGTACTGCAAAAACACATATCAACATTAGTATTAATGCTTTAACTGTTATAAAATTGAAAAACAACTCATTTACTGATGAAACTATTGTAGTCGTTACAATTTGGTTGATTTATACATATTTTTTTAACAAGTTAATTAGAGGTCCCAATTATCAATATACATTTTATTATGCAAAAACTTGATTTGGTCAACATATGTACAGTTAATAATTATTAATGCAAATTGTACCGAAAAAAATAGTAATTATTAATGCAGAACATAAAGTGAATAAATAACCTTAAATACAAAACATACAAATAAAGAAAGACAAATTACAAATAAAAAAGTATGCCACAAGCTCCTTAAGCTATGAATTAGTCCTGCAAAATAAATTAGAAAAAAAAATCAAATATAATATAACATCAAATGAATTCTTTCTAAGTTATTGAATTAAATAGTTCTAAATATGAAAAATGAAGCCGGAAAATTAAAGAAAATATTGAATGAAATAGAAACAATGAATGTACATGATTTCTACAGTTTAAATGTATAATATCCTTACATTAGTTTTTTTT